GGAGAGCTTTTTGATCAGAGCTCAGCACTACCCAACTTTCCCTGGACCCCCCCCCCCAGGTTTCGACCCAACCTGTTCCAGAGGCAAGCGGTGAAGAGGTCTAGCCTAACTCAAAGTTCAGGCCTCGCTTCTTCTCACCATCCGACAAGAGAGGCCTGTCTAAAACCGCATTGAAATCACGAAGGCTCCCCCCACTAGCCCAGAATCCGTTTGCTGTCAAGCGCATTGCGATATAAGTGAGAGATCGGTCGCTAGATGGATAGGGGGGTGCATAGTTGGGCTTGCAACTTGCAAGGTGATCTATGCCATTCCGTATCACTGACATGCTTTCAGTGCGCTGGGCCCAGCCGAGGCTTGGCTTTCCTCGCCGCTGCTTTTCCGCGGCCCGCCCGGACACATCCTGGCCCCACCGGAGAGCGAGGCGCACGGATGCTCGCCTCGTTTGCCAGCTTCCGCGGGGAAGCAGGGGCGCCCTGCCAAGTACAACGGGAGAGGAGGGTGGGAGAGAAGAAGGGTGGAAGGGAGGAGAGAAGAAGGGATCCCGTTTCGCTGCCTCCTGTGAGCATATTAGGGGGGAGCTGAAGTGGGAAGCCCCATTCCATGAGGTGAATCCCGGCAGATTGGAAGGAAGAGGAAAGCGGAGCTGAGGGTGTGAAGGAAACCTGCCGGCGGGCGCCCTGCTGCCTTTCTCAGCGCTGCCTGTCACTCCCCAAAACTTGTTATCCTTACAAGGCATCCGTTTGTTTGGCTGATCTCAGCAAGGTTTTCTCCTCCAAGTAGAACTCTAATTGCTATAATTCGACTGTATCATTTTGGATCATTGCACTATTGTTGTTTTCTCTCTCTCCCTCGCTTCCCCCGAGCCCGGAAACAAGGGCGCTCCGGTGTGAAATTAGCAGGTTGCAGGAGGGAACAGGGAAAGGGAGACCATCAATGAAGGGAAGTTTGTTTTTATTTAAAAGGCTAAGGAGAGAAGGGGGAGAGACAAAAAGAGCCAAGGAAACGCAAAGGCGCGCGGAGGCGAGATCGGTGGTGCAGACAGCAGGCAAGAACCCCCTCGGCCTCTGTGCCGCCGGGACCAGGGCCAGTGACAGCTGGACCCCGCTTGTTCCGATGGGGCATCGAAGTTGGCAAGGCTTGGGGTGGGGAGAGGAGGCACGGGGAACGGAGGATCTGGGCGGCAAAAAGCTTGCTCGCCCTTCTGGCGGGAACCAAGCCCGGGAAGGATTTGGAGGGAAACCCCACTAGGGGTCATGGGGCTTAGCTACCCTTCCCCAAGAAGAAATGGGTCAGGGGAGAGGGAGCAAGAGTCCCATAGACAGATTTGGGGTGGAGGGGAGCTTTAAAAAGTCCATGTCAGATCAAGTGCCACACCCAGTCCTATTTACGCAGAAAAGCCATCCATTTATTAGTGGCATGCAAACGGTTGCTTCGTCTCTACTGAGAGCAAACCCGGTGCAAACAACGTCAGTTTTGTGCCAACACACACACACACACACACACACACGGTCGTTTGGCTGATTTGAGTTGAGAACCTTGTTGGTCTTGAGAAGCGAGGAGCGCACGACTTTCCAGCTATGCTTTCTCGCTCTCTTACTACAACCATTGTTCCTTAAAAACTGTCAAACAGAGCTGGCTATATTTTGCTTGGGTCTTCTTAATTTTTTTGTTTTAGGCTCCCTTCGAAAAGGGAGTGGAAGCGCTGCTTAAGGTTACCCAGACCTGCAGCTCAACTGGAATTTATTTGTTTAAATCGACCTCGGAGGAGCTCAAAGGCTGGAGGCATTGTGGAAAGCCCCCTGGCAGGGACTTTCGGGTCCTTCCGTCCAAGTAGCTTTCCGAAGAAAGCGAAGGCGCATCTGAATAAAAGGGGCGAGTGAAAGACGAGGAGCGAGTCTCCCCAGGTTGCGAGGTCACGAGTCTGCCTAAGACTCAGGGGGAGAAGCGGGTGGCTTTGAGCCAAGAAGACGTGTTGTGCCCACCGTCGCCCAGCCAAACGAGACCTGGAAGTCGCCCCGTGGGACGGAGCATCTCCGGGCAAAGCGGGGCTTGAGGGAAGGCCGGGACTTTCCCTCTCCCTCTCCGACACAGCACTACACCACTCGGGCGGGCTTGTGCCAAGGAAAAGGCGAACCCAACACAGAGGAGGAGGGAAAGAGGGAGGGTGTCGCATCGGAGCTAAAGTGGCGACGCCAACCAGCATAACTGCTCCTCTGCCTGGTTTGGTTGGGGCATCTTTCAGGGCTGGTGGAGGCGCAGGCGGAGAGAGGCACAACCTGCTGCGGGAATTGCTCGGTCGGGGCTTTCCCTGCCCTTCCAATAGGTGGCCAGGCACCTCGGCTGGTTTCTTGGGTTGGCCACAACAATAAAATTCCCTCTCTGAGTCGCGATCGGTTTCCCAAGAGGGTTGCCTTCCGGATGGATTTGGCTCTTCCAGTCCCATCCTCTTGACTTAGCCCTCCTCTCCGCCCCCGCCCCCCCCATTTGCCCTCTTTCTCTAGACTTGAGAAAGGCAGGTGGGATTAACTCCGATTGTGGAGGTTGCTCTTGTGGTTGGTATTATCATCTTGTGGTTGGTAGTATTATCATCATCCGCATCAGCATTGTTGCTGCTGCTACTTAAAAAACAAAAACACTATTCCTGCTAATAAAGACCTCCTCTCCCACCCCAGTCTTGAAGCAGTAAAGCCAACCTTATTTTATTCATTGATTGCTTTTTGTTCGGGTGCGTTTGGGTGGGAAGACCAGGATGGCGAGAGACTAAGGCGAAGGGCGGTCTCGTGTTTCCTTAACTGCTCCCCATCCCAGGGCGAGAGAAGAGGGGGCCGTCTCAAGCAGAGGGAAAGCCTGTTTGGTTTCTCCTTTCTACAGCAAGTGTCGCGCTGTGAGGAGGAGAAGTGGGACGGGGGCAAAAGCAACGGGGGCGAGGCGAGGCGAGCTGCGAGAGCCGGGCCCCGTTGTGGGACGACCCTCCTGTGCGGAGGCTCCCTCCCTCCGGGAGCAGGCGCCCCGCTCCGCTTCCCAGCCCCTTTTTCCCTCCGTCTCCAGTGGCGGATGAAACGCTTCTGCCAAGGCAGCTCCGGAACGTCGATGGCACATTAGCATTTGAAAGAGTTATCCAGATGTTTATTACAGTTTGAGAGAGACAGAGGGAGAGAGAGATCCCAATTATAAATCCTTGTATTTTTAAATACCCAGTGTAAGCGATTCAAGTAGATGCCTTTGTAAATTTCTTTGACACGTTCAAACGAGGAAAGTTGAGCAGAAAGAAAATCAGGCCTGGAGTGTTCCCCTTGTCCAAAACCGGGATTTTTGTGTGTGTTTTTTTAATTAACCATTATTTGCTCCCTCGCTCTGCCTCCGCTGTTCACGCTGCCTTCGCAGAGCAGTGGGGAATCTCGTATTTCAGAAGCAGCAGAACGGAGCACACGGCGGTATTGGGCCCCGATCCCGGCCCTCCGACGGTTACACATCCGCATCTGCCTACCAAAGAAGGCCCACTGATGCCAACGTGGGGTTATTCCCCAGTCTTGAACGAGCTTTAACACTAGGGGGAAATTCTCCCTGACAAAATAGTTGTTTGAAGTAGCAACAACGACAATGAAATGGATCTAGAAATCGGGGTGGTTTAGGGACGGCCACCACCGTTGGGAAGGATCAGATACCTGGCACTTTTATCCTCTTGTTGGAAGAGGCCGGTGCCAGTGGAAGCATCAAAGCATCCTTAGCCCGCTTGGTTTCAAAAGAGAGAGGCTGCTGGAGGATAGTCCCGGGTTTAATGCCATCGCATTCCCAGCCGGCCAAACCTTCCCGGCTTCAGGCGAGGCTTTCAGCCTTTGACTCAGTCCCAGCCACTCAGAATCCTTCTGATCTCGTCCGGTCCCATTTCATTCCAGTCAAATCCCTGATCTGCCACAGACCTCTCTTCACTCTGAAGGCAAATATAGGATTCTTCTGGGATCTTGGTCGGTTTGCATTTGAAGGTATACTGGATCCACTACAACAGCAAAACAGCCAAACAAACAAACAAAGCAGCAACGACCCTAGATTGAATAAATAACGAAGAATCGGTCGAGGAAAGTCCATTAGGTCCTTTTGAAAACTCCCTTATGATCGTGCCCGCTCGTGCTGATGGGCTTTTCTGTACCAATTCACTTTAATCGTTTGATAAATCGAAATTTGTACGCAAAATGTGTTTCCACACGGGCCACCATTGCAAATTCATCTGTACCAATTTGTTAGTGAACGAACTTTTTCTGATAAACAGTCTCATGTGTTTTTGATATTTTTCTCTAGCTACAGAGAGAGATCTGTATTTTTATACATGAATGAATGCGTGTGTGTGTACACACTCGATGTACAGATACTCCCACACACGTTCTATATTAATGTTGCAATCCTAAACACACACTGTAAGGTTTATTGAACATAGTGGGATTTACTTCCAAGTAGTTCAGGACAGAAGTGCTCTGTGCTCTATTTAGGCAGCACTTGTATCAAAAATTATAGAGCTGCCTGATGAAGATCAGCACTAACGGAATGCAGTAATAATTAATCCAGTTAATCCCTCACTAATTTAATAATGCCCAACAATCCACTTTTAAAACAAAAACAAAATTAGGGGAGGAGGGCTGTTTCTTGAATGGAACAATAAGTTATTTGGGAAGATCGGGACGAATATATGACATAGTTAAGACTCCGTTCCCTATATAATATAGTTAAGACTATATAGTCTGGATTATTTGGGCTCATCGTCCCTGGAAGTGTCAAATTGGCAGGAAACTTTTCCAAGGAAGAGGAGTTGAACGAGATGACCTTCGCCAGATCTCTTCCTGTCCTTCAGCCCCAGCAAGGACGAGGTCTGGGCAGGGAAAGTTAGCCTGCCAACTTTTTGTCAAGCAACCCGTTCCCGTTCCCTGCCCCCTCCCCTCTCCCGATTCCGGACCGCGTTTTCCCCTTGGCTGGGAGCCGAAGGCTGCCCAGCCTCTGGAGAGAGCCAATCAGAGCGCGGCTCCCAGCACGTGGAGGAGAGGGAATCAAGAGCCAAGCTATTGCGGCTCAGGCGCTACACTTGTTCCCAGTGTCCTGGGCAGGAAGAGGGGCGACTTTGCCGGCGCTGCTGCCGTTGCCTGGTGGGGGGAGGGGTGCCAGCCCAGCCCGGAGCCCGGAGCCCACACGCGCCGCCACCCGGAGCCCGGCCAGGCGCGGGAGGGGCCAGCAAGCCCAAGCCATGAGCAACCAATACCAAGAGGAGAGCTGCTCCGACAGGCCCGAATGCAAAAGTAAATCGCCAACTTTGCTCTCGTCCTACTGCATCGACAGCATCCTGGGCCGGAGGAGCCCGTGCAAGATGCGGCTGCTGGGAGCGGCGCCCAGCCTCGCTCCGCTGGCCGGCAGGATCGAGCAGGACAAGGCCGGCCAAGGTAAGCCCAGCCCAGGGGGGCAGAGGAAAGAGCGAGCGGGCCTGGCAGGCAACTTCGCTCCTCCGGGCAGCTCCAGCGAGCTCCGCGGAAATCCTGCGCCCGGAGAGCCGGCCTAGAGCGCGGAGACCCCCTTGCAAGTGGCGTGGGTGGGAGCGTGGGTCTGAGATGCAGGCCACCCACCGCCCAGGCGATCAGGAAGGTTAGGGGGCAGAAACGGACTGGGAGAAACTCCGCTTCCCCGCCACTCTTGGGGTCTCTGTTTTGCCTTGCCTCCCACCACCAGCTGCATCCCAGACACGCCCGGGGTCGCCTTTAGCTTGCTTGGGGAGAAGGGGAGGTGGTGCCCCAAATGGGGGTCTCCTCTTCTTTTTGGGAGAAGGTGGGGTGAAAGAAGACAAGTAACGGCGGCAAGTCAGCAGGTCCCTGGCGCGTATTTTCCGTTGCTGCTTCGGCGGCGCCTTTCCGCTGCCAGGCCTGCTTGGGAGGGCGAATAGATAGGGCGTCCTTTGGCGGGGCTCCCGGTTGTAAAGAAGTGGGGCTCCGGATAGAATGTGTTTGGAGGGGACAGAGAAAAAGAAATCCCCCCCAACACGCATATACAGAGTTTTAAAATATTTTAAGCCTCTTTCTCTCCGGCCTTCCAATTCATGGGGATCTTCGGGTGCCGGCAGAGCCGCTGGAAATGCTTTTGACGAAGCCGACAGGTGTCAGATTGTCGGCTGGAGGAAGGGGACTTTTAATGAATGCACTTAAAAGAATAGTAATGTTTAATAAGTCAAGTGGTTGGAATAAAAACTAATGCAGAGAACAGTTAGCTTTTGCTTTCGTCCAGACACAATCCTCAAATTTATCTCTCCATACAGTTCCTACAGGGGTGGGTTTTGATAGAGCTTCCTGTGAAGGATTTTGGTCTCGGGACGGGAAAGGGAGACGTGGAGAGAGCCGACCTGGTTTGGCAAAAATAATTGCAGCTGCCCGCCTAGAAAGTTGAAAGCATCTGGGCAAAATGGGGGGGGGGTTGCATTTACACCGGGGCCCCCCACGCATGGTCTGCCCTTTGCTCCGAGTCCCTGGGCCCGTTTCTAGATGCAGACGGAGGGTCCCCCCGGCTGGGCGGCAGCGAAACGTGCCGGGCCGGGTCGGTGATGGGTGCGTGTCTCTCTGTGTTCGTCTCCCCGGCAGGACCGGCCAAGGGCAGCCCGGCGGGCTTCGAGGCTGCCGAGTTGCACCTGCCGCCCAAGCTGCGCCGCCTCTACGGGCCCGGCGGGGGCCGGCTGCTGGCGAGGGCCGAGCGGGTAGAGGCGGGCGCCTCGTCCTGGGACTCGCTCAAGATCAGCCAGGCGCCGCAGGTCAGCATCAGCCGCAGCAAGTCGTACCGGGAAAACGCGCCCTTCCCGCGGGCCGCTGCCGCCCTCGACGAGCTGTCCAGCGGAGGAGGAGGAGGCGGCGGCGGCGGCGGCCTCGACGGCAGGCCCGGCCGAGACGACGAGTTGCTGGATGACGAGGACGACGAGGATGACGACGACGACGAGGAGGAAGAGGCCGAGGAGCTGGACGAGGAGCTGGAGGACGACGAGGAGCTGCTGGCCGAGGCCAAGGAGGCCCGGCGGGCCGCTGGGGGCCCCGTCGGCGTCGTCGGGGGACCTGGCGCGGCGCCGGGGACGGAGGGCGCCGGCGGCTGCTCTCCCAAGGAGGAGCTGCTGCTGCCCGTCGACGAGCTGGTGGAGGGCAAGGACGGCGAGGACAGCGTGTGCCTGTCGGCCGGCAGCGACTCCGAGGAGGGGCTGCTCAAGAGGAAGCAGCGCCGCTACCGCACCACCTTCACCAGCTACCAGCTGGAGGAGCTCGAGAGGGCCTTCCAGAAGACGCACTACCCGGACGTCTTCACCAGGTAGGTGGCGAGGCGCTTGGGGAGGGGAGGGGGCAGCTGCCCAACTTGGGGGTTCCGCCTGTCCCCAGGGCCCAAAGCGAGGTCCGCTGCTGCGGCTCCCCTGGCCACTCTTCGCTCAAGTTAGACGGGGCTGGAAGGAGACAAGGAGTATAAGCTCTTAAGATTGAAATCGACGGAGGGGTGTCTGCGGGCAAAATCGGAAGCCTTGGGACTTGGAGATCAATGTACCCGACAAGAAGAAAAAGTGCGCGCGCCTGGGGATAACTTGGGAAGCTGTGGAACTGACGGGGTGGGATATGGTGGGAAATTCCCTTCTCCCCCCGTTGTGTCCCAGGCCTTTATTCAATCCACTCCGCGTCCAGGAGAAAAAGTCCTTCTTTTTTTGAGGTTCCCTCTCCTCAGAAGTCCAGACACCCCATCCTTAGGATAGGAGGAGAGAGGGGCTTGTGTGGCTCAGCCCGAGTTCGCCGGCCAAGGACAGGTTAGAGGTGGGTTTTGGCCGCGTCTTTGTCAAACCCTCTCCGGGGTCTATTTTTGCCTTGATCCTCCGGCTAGTCTGTCGGGTATCAGTTTCAGCGCTCTCGGTAGAAGCTGGAGCGCTGCCCTGCCGCAGGGAAGCCCCGTGCGTATATATAGATAGATATAGTTTTGAAAAGATCAAAGTATTCCGCTTGAGAGGGCTAAAAATATGGGACGAGAATGGCAGCTTGCTTGGAAAGCTTTGGCAGAAGCCCCAATCGCCCCAAGCGTCCGTCCGCCGGTTCAGGACGTTTCTGGGCACCGTCCAGAAAGAAAAAAGAAAAAGATTTTTTTTAAAAGGGGGGAGGGAGTCCGGAGGGAGAAAGTCATTCTGAGGTCTTGCCTTGCCTTGAGGTCTGCTCCTTACAGGGGTTTGAAGCAGAAGCCTAACCGGGCACGCTTACTTTGAAAGGAACCGGGCTGTTCGTCTTCCACTGAAGCGCTGTATCAGACGTGTATCAGGCTTGATCCGAATTAAAGCGGTGTCAAGTTGCATTTGCGCTTTCAAGGGGGAAGTCCCTGCCTCCCGTTAACTAGAATCTGCTTGGGAGACGAACTTAATTGCAGTGAAAATGACAATAATGCAGATGCCCATTTTGTTTGCAAGTTTGTGCCTAAGTGGTTTGGTGGGTTTTTAATTTTTAAATCACTCGGTAGCAGATCCTTTCCTTTCTTTGGATTCCCCCGTACTCCTAAAATGCTCCCATTTGCAATCCGGAGAAAAGGAGAGGAGAGCATAACGCTATTAACGGGGTTACGCTCTCAATAAGTAGGCGAATTTCGTTTTGAGCTGCAAAGCCTCTTCTGCGTGGAATTCCTTTTACCGCATCCGGATCCGAGAAGGGTCGCTTTCAGCAATATTTGTAGCAAAGGTTTTGCTATTTACCAAGAGGAAAGGAATTACTGATCCTTAGAATACAGAGATTCGTTTTGGCTTCTTATTAAGAGCGACCCTAATTCCCTTCCATATTTTACCCCTTCTTGGGGCTGCAATCCGGTCCCCATTTTAACAGAGTAGCCCACTGAAGTCGGTGGGATTTACTTCCGAGGAGACCCACGTAACTCAGTTTATTGCACTGTTAAAGTCGTTAGCCAAGGCTCGCCTCACCTCTAATATGGGGGGTGGGGAAGAGTATTTCCGTAGAAATGGGATGGGAAGCAGCGTTTATTTCTTGGCACATTTGCTGGAATCTCCTTCGGAGCCAGCGGGCATAAGACGCAGCTTCGCCGGCGTGGCGCAGGAAATCACCGGGATCCCCTTGCTTAGGAAACGGAACTGCCGGCTTGAGCGAAAGCTGCTGCCTTGCTTTGCCTCGCAGCCACTCAAGGCAACGGCTTGCCTAGGGAGCGCCCTTCCTCTGGAAGCCCGACCGGCGTATGCTCCGATTTCGCCCGGAAAGGTCTTTGAAGTGGAATGTGCCGGCTTAGGCTGGAGAGGTTTAGCCAGGCCGCTCCTCCCATGGCGCACATCGGGGCGGAGAGGCTTTGGTGCGGCCATCTCTGTGAGGAGCCAGACCCTCGGGCTGGAGATCTTTTTTTTTTTTTTAAAGAAAAAGTTGGCAGCCTGGAGGAGCTGGGCAAGGGCGAGCTGGCTCTTCAGCTCCAGCCCGGTCAGGCTTCCTCTCTGGCCAGCGCGGCGCTTTTCTTCCTAACGGAGGGAGAGCCAATTATCCCGGGAGCTCTCATATTCGAGGTAAACAGATTATAAGCAGTTTTCTAACATAGTAATGGTTTCCGATTTGCCTTAATTGTTGCAATAATAATCGCAATGAAGGGCTCGCGTTGCAGCTCAAAGGATCTCCTCTGTGCCGCGGCGCGGCGTTTGGAGGGGGGAGCCTTGCTCCGGCGCGCGGGGCTGCGGGCCTTGGCCGGGGTCGCGGCCCTTCCCAGCAGACTGTCAAAGCCCCCGCTCGCAAGTTTTCCTCTTTTCACTTCCTCCAAACATTTTCGCCTTCGTAACAACAACGGGGGGGGGAAGAGGTTTTTTGGGGGGGAGGGACAGGGACACGCAGATCAAAACAAGAAACTTGGGAGGTTTTTTTTCCTAGTCTGCTTTGTGCACCCGATTTCAAGCTAGCCTTCTCAGGATGTGGAGAGTGAAACGCTTCCTGGTTTGGGATATTAATTTTTTTGCATGGAGTGGGGGTGTTGGGGGCATTCCGGGGCGATCCAGCGTCAGTGCCAGTAGGAACTGGAGCGAAGGGCAGGAAACTGGCCTTGTTTGGGACTTTGCATGTGGATGGCTCTCCCCTATATGGGCAAAGAAGGGAGTAGTAGTAGTAGTAGCCTTCACCAAGACGGTGAGACGCGGGACCCTTTCTCTCCCGTGACCCCGCTTCACAGGGCCTCACCTGAGCGTGTGTCTTGTTGTGCTTGTTTCCCTCCCAGGGAGGAGCTGGCGATGCGCCTGGATCTGACCGAAGCCAGAGTGCAGGTGAGTCCAGGGGCAGCTGCGATGGGGACTGGGAGCGCTCTCTCGGCGGGCTTGGGGTCCCCGCAGGTGGGGGGGGGGAGAGGAAATATTGTTTAAGACCCTTGAACCCAAACAGGCCTCGCTCCTTCTCTCCTCCCCCCGCACCCCCAAATTAAGACCAAACGCTGGGTGATGGGTGCCAGCCTGCCCTTTCCCTCGTTGAAACCAGTTAATTTCGTTCCGGCTCTGTGCGGGGGGGGGGAAGCAAGCCCCCAGCAGCTTTCCTTCTGCCCCCTTTCCACCCCCACCCCGATGAAAGAACTAGCTGTGGTTGTCAGCCCAACGCAGCGCGAAGCAGGTATTTGCCTGCGCTCTCAAATGGCCCATCGGGCCTCCATCAAAGGGCACTTTGGCGCTCGAGCAAACAGGGAGGGGCTGTTTGGTTTCCTCTCCGCTTGGCCCGAAGAGAGTCAGCTAATGCTATTTGATTTCCTCGATTTTGTTTTTGGCTCGACGGTGCAATGCTATTAGAAGGTGTTTGCTCCCCCACCCCGAGCCCGGAGGCTACGCAGCGCGGAGAGCCAGGCGCTCCACTCGCCCCTCTTCGGCCAACCCCCCGACAGATGGCGGCGGCCTTTTGCCTCCGCGCAAATCACTTTACACTGAAAGTCAGGCGCGGCGAAAGCATCATAAATTCCATATGGCTCATTTAATACACAACAGCTTCTCGCATTAGAGGGGCTAATGAAGAGCCCGGTCCCCTCCTTTCTGTTGACACATTTCTCCATTGTCAAACAGAGATGTGACAGCAAATCAGGATTTTCAGCTCAGGGGAATGAGTCGTGGGAAAGTTAAATAACTAAGAGAGAGACAGAGACAACCCCCCTTTTCTTTCTCGCCCTCCCTTCCCTCCCTATTCAGTGGAGAAGATGTAATTAAGGGGAATATGAATTATTAGAGCCCCTCGGTTTACCTTTGGGTGTACTCAAACTTATTAATTCAATAAGAGAGGGGGAATTTGCAGTGGGGCCAAGTTGCTAATTGAGTTGGAAACGGAAAAGACGCGCCGAGACGCCACGTTTGCCGTTGCCTTGAGCCGCAGCTCCTAGGCAGGCTGCGCGGGGACCTTCCTAGAGGCGAGAGGAGCAACACAAACGAGAAGATGGTCCCGGTTTCCCTGCCCCCCTCCCCCCGAATATGTGGCTCTCATTTTCCCCAAGCTTTTTCCAAATAATTGCCTCCTATGGAAGCCGAGGCTGCAATCTTATTATATACCCTCACCTGGGAGTAAATCCCATTGAACTCGGTGAGATTTACTTCTGAGCATACACCTATGGGATTGCATTGTCAATCTGTTTAGATTTTAAAAAGTAGCCCTCCCGTTTTTATTCCGTTTCCAAATTTGGAGAGGGATATATTTTCGGTAGTATTTCACTGCTTTGGCTCTAAAACTGGAGAAAGATGTCGATGGCTGATATTAATATATAGAGAACCCCTCCCTGTTTTTATTAATAACTAGGAAAGGGGAGGGAAGCTTGTTTATTGCTGCCCCTTTTGCTTTTCATCTCTCCTCGCTGAAAAGACCAGAGCTCTTTGCAAAATGTGAGCGTTCTCCCCGAGAACGGCTCTGGTGGCGGCTCTGAATGTGGGTGGCTGCGGAGATGGCGTAATAACCACAATAATAATAATGAAAAATAATTTCCACGGACTGGGAAATTAGCGTTAGAGCCTTTTAAGTGCCGCTAAGAAGGCATGGGTTTAAAATTGTCATAAAAGAAAACATGATGTTTAGCGTGTGTGGCTGGCGAAAACATTCAACTGTCTGTCAAACAGTGGAGTTGAGAAAAGGCGGGGTGTGTAGGGGGGGGGAGAACCCGCTGAAAAGGCTGTATACGTGGAAACTTTTGAAGAAAATAGAACATTAGGCGAGGTTGCTTGAATGCAGTCGCATTGGTTGTATTATGTTAGAAGGTGCGTCTTACAGAAAGGCAACCGCTTAAGGAGCAGCTGTTGCGTATGTCTCTACCTGTAGCCCAGGAAGCCCAGCCTAGTCAGAGCCTTCTCAAGCTGATCGATCACTCCCGTTAAGAATAAATAGATCTATATTAAACCTGCCTTGGCCAGGCCGAGGGCTGGATCCACTTTAAGGTCACCACCAGATATGAGCGAAACGAGATGCGTTTAATTATTGTCTTTATTTCCAATAGGGCACCATCTATTTGCATGGCGCTTTTACAGATTCCCAGGGACGCGGGGGGGGGGGGAAGGCAGGTCTCTGCCAGCGAGGAGCTTGCCATCTAAATTACTGTCGTGAGGGGGACACTAAGGAAGACGGGGAGAAAACTGATTTGTGATGTCACTGTCACGTAGTTCTGTCCCATTTTGGGTCCGCATGCTCAGCAGTGAAACTTCCCACCCCTCTGCCCAAACCATTTGCTTCCACATCCTCGCCCACCGATCTGGTAGGCGCGAAGGACATGGAGGAAAGGCAAAATGGGGTCTGGGCGCAGAGAGGTGGGCGCTCTTTTGCCAAGCCAGAGGCCCTTGCTTCCCTTTCCCCTTGGTTCCCTTTCCTCTATGGGCCTCTCCCTGGGCAGGAGCGCTGGGTAGTTTCAGACGATGCCTGCTCCAGAACCGCCACGGAAGCCCGAAGATGTGCGCTGCGCTCAGGCCCGGGTCGCCCCACGGCCTTGGCGCCGAAGCGAGCGCTGGGCCTTCCCTGAGGAGGAGGCGTCGTCGTCGTCGTCTCTGGGCCGCCGAGGAGCCGCGAGGGCCGCGCTTGACTAACCGCCTTGCCCCCCCTCCCCACCCCCTTGTTTTATGTTTTGGCTTCCAGGTCTGGTTCCAGAACCGGAGAGCCAAATGGCGGAAGAGGGAAAAGGCCGGCGCCCAGAGCCACCCGCCCGGCCTGCCTTTCCCTGGGCCCCTGTCGGCGTCTCACCCGCTCAGTCCCTACCTTGATGCTAGTCCTTTCCCTCCTCACCACCCAGCTCTCGACTCCGCCTGGACGGCCGCCGCCGCAGCCGCTGCAGCCGCCGCCGCCTTCCCCAGCCTGCCGCCTCCTCCTCCCGGCTCGGCAGCTCTGCCCCCCGGCGGGACCCCGCTAGGCCTCAGCACTTTCCTGGGAGCGGCCGTGTTCCGACACCCGGCCTTCATCAGCCCCGCCTTCGGCAGGTAAACTTGAAGCAGGCGCGGCCTAAACCTCTCTCTCCCCCCCCCCCCATGCTGTCAACGAGCAGACCGTTACCGACGCGCGCACGTGCCGCGGCAGGGCTTCCTCCCGAGTACGCATGCGTAAGGCACGCTTCGGAGTCGACGTGGGCGGGGCCTCAAGGGAATCCTGAGGGTGGGAATGGCGAAGGCAAATCTTGGCCTGCCTGGTATTATAAAGATTTGGGCGCGGGTTGTGCGCTGAGGGCCCCGCGCGTGAAGGTGCAGCGGTGCTTCTGAAGGCACGGGAAGGGAGAGTGGCTCTGTCTCCCACAGGACTAGATCATGGGCCATTCATTGGCCTCATCCAGCAGGCTCTGCTGTCTGGTCGTGTTCTAGACCTGGCGCAGGAGTGGGGGAACTTTTTCTGCTTCAAAACTTCAAGGGACCTGAGACGCTTCCCGCTCAGACCTGCAGAAGTTCCTTTCAGTGTTCTCTGGGCTTAACTCCCGCACTTATGGGCTTGGTGGCGCTGGAGAGGTTCCTCCCAATGACCTAAAGATGTCCATGCGTGGACAGGATGCAATAGTTCAGTCGCTTTGCTTCTGGGTTGCAAGTATAGTTCCCCAGTCTTTAGAATATGGAATTCGTATGAGTTGGGAATAATAATAATAATAATAATAATAATAATAATAATAATAATAATAATAATAATTGCAAAGCTCATGGTATCCTCCTGTTCCCTAATTGGATAGAGATAACTTTAAAGGAAAAGGCCAGTCACTGGCATTTTCATTTAGACCATGATCTTAAGCACATTGGCTGGAAGGTACTCGTAAGATTTTCTTCTAGCTAGATGGCTTGGCTACATAGTATTATTTAGGTGATAGGATGACAGTCCGTTTATTAAAATAATCTTAACTTTTAAAATGGTCTACGTTTTAACACATTCATTTTACCTTTCATCTTTGTTGATATTTGATCCCACTCTAAATAGTCACAGAAAGGCATAAAATGAAATCGAGAAAGGGATTTAAAAAATGAATAAAGACAACTTAAATCCACTGAAAAGTCACAGTAGTGACTAGAGATATAGCCTGTCTAGTTTACACCTGAACGGAAAACCAGGCTTGTTAGTCAAGGATAAAATAAAATAAATGATAGTGCAGCTACCTTTCTTTAAACAATAACCAAACAATTAATTTAAAGAAGTCAATAGCTAATTATAAAGAGACAAAAAAGCATTGTCGGGGTTTATGGAAGCCGGAGAGAGGTTGAAAATGGAAGGGCAAAAGAACTGCAGTGATGTCTTTACTGATGAGAACAAAGAAGGGATAGATTCATCGCAGGCGAGACGCCACTTAACACAATTATGTGTTGGAGGAGGGTTGGGGAAAATCCAAGTAAAATTTAGTTTTATGTGGTGGGGGAACGCGAGAGCCGCCCAGCTACAACGAAAGCGTTTCTGCCTTTCCCCTGAGCCCCCGAGTGACTCAATTTCCCTCAAGGCAGGCTGCGGGGCTGTCACGCCCCCTACTTGCCGCCGTGATTCTACACTTGGAGCGCTTCTCTCTGGCTGCATCAGCCGCAGCCCTTGCGCTACCTCTTGCGCCCCCCATCAGATTGAAAAATGAGTTGTAAAATGCTTACTAAACTGCCTGGCTAATAGGCTGTGCGATCAAAATAGGCAGGCGACGAAAAAAGAGAGCGAGGAAGTAGTGAAGGGAGCAGAAGAGGAAAGCAGAGACTGTTCTCCTCGCGCTTCTATCTTGCGCTAAAATGCAAAGTTTTTAGGAAAGCGTTTCACCTTCCATAGAAAGTGCCTTCTGAAAAGCCAAGCCACTGTGCATATAGGGTTCCCCTTTTTGCTAATTGTATTTTTTATATTAAAAAAAAAACCAGCCTCGGAAATCGTAGCCTATAAGAGAGCAGCAAGATGCAGACCTTCCCACTTCAGGGCTGAGCTGCGCGAAGAATTTCAGGAGCAGAGAGTCGGGGAACCCCCCTCCCCGCGCCCAAGTAATCCTCCCCAAGGCCCTCCCCGCGCCAGCCAGCCAGCCCGCAGTCCGGGAGCTTAGGCGGCTCCGGGCTTAGTATGTAGCCCCTGTTGCCTTCCAGGCCCACAGTTCAATTCCTAGCCGTGATGATGTCAATAATCACCTCCTTGGTTAATGGAGAGTCTGTATATCTCGACGTGCCAGTCAAGGGGGTCAGTTGCTCTCTTCAGAGCGGCTGCTCCGGGGAGAGGTAAGGAAGGAAAACTAGAGGGGAAGGCATTTCCAAGATTGTGTCATTGAGCCGGGATGCTAGGGTTGCCGGAGAATAATTGGCATTCCACTGTGCGGAAATCCACAGGGACGGCGCGCCCTGCTGGGCGTGGGCATCCGCCCCGCGAAGGAGCCGAGCGGCAGACACCGCTTCGGGCATCCAGGACCTCTAATAAGGCGGGCCGAGGAAAGTATAGACATCGGAAGGGCAAGGGGAGGGGCGCCCGAGAAGCGAACGTGAAGGACAAGGGGAAAGAGCCCGCGGAGGCAGCGGAAAGAACCACCGCTGTAGCTTGGGGGAGATGAAAGTGGCAGGAGAGGAGAGGGAAACTTGAGCGGGGAGAAAAGCCATCACCTAAAAGTCTCGATTGTTACTACTATTTATTAGTAGTAATAGTTATTCTATTCTTCTCTCTGATCACAGTATAAGAAATTATTCTTCTCTCTGATCACAGTATAAGTCGCAGGCTCAAGCGTCTGCTGCCAGCGAGCTCCTGTCACTAGCAAATGGGAGAGGATTAGGCGCCTTACGGACAATCTCGTTGACTAGGCGTTTCTCTTCCAACCCCGCCTGGCTTATGCTGCCCCGAGAAGGGCCGCGAGTAGAAACCGGCCAGACCTTAAACTTGGAAAACCCGGGATTCGAATCGAGGCCCGGGAGGGAACAGAGGCGGGACCTTGTTTTGCACACCCCCCCGGGATCCAGACAGGGTGAAGGGCGGTATAAATGCACTGATCAAATACATAAAGAGCATGCGGCTGTTGCAACATTTGCCCGGGTCGGGATTGGCCACTCTTTCACTCGCAGCCCTATAATTCTGGGGTAGCCAATTTGACGCTCCCCATAAAGTTGTGGAATGACAAAGCCCATGAGCGCCCAGGCAACGCTCAGACGTAGTAGTGGGATTGTAGTCTCAAGTGTATGCAGAGGGCCCCGGGTTGGGCTCTCTCCGCCTTAAATTGTATAAGCGGAAGTTGAGAGTCCTCCGGAGGCCTGTTTCCTTGTCTTTGAAAGTGGGTTTGCCCTTGAATGGACTACAACGCCCATGAGCCACACTCCCTGGGCCTGATGGGAGCTGGAGTCCAGCAGGCCCGTTTTAAAAGCAGCCTGCCGCGGATGATGCAATGTAGGCGCGCTTTTGTTAGTGACACGGGGTTCTGGGGGTGTCGCCTGGTCGCCACGCCCTCGTCCGCACTGTCAGCTCGGCCCTGACCGCCCGGCCTGTGTCCTCTTGGCTTGCAGGCTCTTCTCCACCATGGCCCCGCTGACGAGCGCGTCCACCGCGGCCGCCCTGCTGCGCCAGCCGGCCCCGAGCGTGGAGAGCGCCGTGCAGTCGGGCGGCCTCTCGGATCCGGCCACGGCGGCAGCGGACCGGCGGGCCTCCAGCATCGCGGCGCTGCGGTTGAAGGCCAAGGAGCACGCGGCGCAGTTGACGCAGCTCAACATCCTCCCCGGGAACAGCACGGGCAAAGAGGTGTGCTAAGCAGCCCCGACGGGGCGGGGCGAGGCCGGCCAGAGATCGCCTGGCGAGGAGCGAAACCCAAGACCAAAACGGGAGAGCGAGAAGCAGACAGACACATACAAAGAGAGACCGAGGATCCGCGGCGGAGAGCTTCTCCTCCGGTTCGGTACTCGGAGCAAGCCAGGCTCCTGCTTTTCATGCTTCCCTCGGGCCATTCAGCAGAAGCTCCTTGGCTGGGACTACCCCACGCACCCGCCACCCCTTCCCCAATGTCATTCCGTTTCTTGAACACCCAAGTACATCCCACGGAGGAGAAAGGAGAGAGGACCTTTCGGAGCGGGGCGCGTGGGCAGGTACGACGTGGCGGCGCAGCCCACGCCCCTCTCTCTCCCTTCGCCACATCTAGTCATGTCACCCTGGGCCGATCTTAAGAGGAGCTTTGGGAGGACGTCGAAACCAAGGATGCTGCTTGGGCCAGGCCAAAAGGAAGCCAATGATGCGATGCTGTGTTAAAACGAACCGGTGCACTTAATAAGGCAAAAGGGGAGCGGGGTGGGATCGGGGAGAGAGTCTGGTCTTTTTCTTTTCTTTCTTTCTTTCTTTCTTTCTTTCTTTCTTTCTTTCTTTCTTTCTTTTTTGTCTGTGTGTGGAGGGGTCCTCCTATCATCACACCAACCAAGGGTTTTATAGCAAACCAAAGGGAAAAATAACAGTGCTAGAATATGGACTGTTTTAAAAAAAGAAGTCACTAAACTGTGATGCTCTGTACATACCATTGTTATTAAAAAAAATAAGAAAAAGCAAAAAAAGAAAAAAGAAACACAGCAACCCAGAGCTTTGTATATTTGAAATGTTATATAACAATTGCACTCCGTGTAGTGTTTGTACAAGTTTGTCATTTCTGTAGATTCTTACTGTGTTGTAGATATCATAGGGTCCCTAGACAAATATTTATGTACAAACCCTTTATTTAACTTATTAACTGTAGAGGTTCCTGAAACCAGAGAGAGAGAGAAAGGGAAAGCGAGTCGAAAAGAGAGAGAGACAGGGCGTCGGTACAGTGCTTTTGTGTAATGTTGTTATTGCTCTCACTTTCCCTTGCGACCAAGTGGAAAAGTGTCACCCATAGAAAATAAAATATATATATATACATTTATGAAGAATTTGAAAAGATACCTGGAGATGCAGCGTCATTGGAAGTAAATTGTGCTTCATCACCAAGGTGGGGGAGGGCTAGGGTACCAAGGACTTGATTGAACTCTCCAGCTTTACAGATATTTGTCTGACAGATGCCTAAAAAAATATGTAAACGGAAAAAATGAAAAGATTTTATTACTTTCACAAGCTTTCTAGCCAATATTATTTTCCCCCTAACCCAAATTGGTTTTAATGTTAAAAGACACTCCTCCTTTCCCAACCTGGTGCCCTCATGGGAGCTGTAGTCCAAAATATCTGGAGAGCACCAGGATGTGGAAAACTGGCCTGGGCACAGGCTGACAGCTGTGGGCAGGTAACAGGTTGGCAGCACAAATCTTTTCCTTATCTACTGGGAATTCAATCCCACTGAGCTCATTGGGGCTTTCTCCAAAGGAAGCGGGTGTAGGATTGTAGCCTAAGTCCATTTCCCAAGGAATGACAACAGAGGAGACTGACTGATGAGTAAACATACATAGGGTGGCACTGCAAGGCTGCTCATCCTGCGCACACTTAGACTGGGAGCAAACCTCCGGGGACAGAATTGTGTGCTGTAAAGCTGCAGTGCTGTGCCCTCTACCCTGAAAGTAATCCTCATGGAACACCGGACTGACTTCCGAGTAAATGCGCGCAGGATCGCTCTGTACAAAAAGGGGGTGGCGGTAGCGCATCTGCGCCGTTTCATTCTTTTGATGGCCAAGATGGTTTGGTTCCTTATCTGACCAGATCAGGCGACTCGCCTCCGCCTCTCTTTTCTTTCCCGCTGCCTAAAGCAACAGGAATCCCGAATGTTGCACACTGGCTTTGCATGTGGCGTCCTCTTTACTGGGTCAAGGCGAGCAGCTGTCTTCTCATGGCCATTTCCAGAGAAGCGGGCGGGCGGGGGAAGGGACAGGGAAGGTGCTGCAACTCCGCTGCTCCAGCCAGAGAAGGTGAAAGAAAGAGAGGGAGATCGTGCTTGACCAGAGGGTGGGAGCCTCGGTGGTATCCTGTACCACCATCGGACCACCTAGGTTGGGGGTGGGCTTGCCAGGCGGAGCTGGTGGCGATGGTGCGCTCTTCCACCGGATCGCTTCTCGACTGGTGATCTGGTGGGCGAGATCCCCGGCGCCCAAGCCTCCCTCCTGCAAGCGAGGTGGGGCTGGGACTGGGGCGAGGCCTGGCAACGGCGGCTCGCCAAGGCCTTGGCTTCCGGCTTGGAAAAAGAAAGCCAGGTCCGGGGCCCGTTGCTGCTTTGGTGTGCGCACCGACGAGCCTCTCTCCCTGTCTGTCTGTCTGCTCCCTCCCCTCCTTCCCTTCCTCTCTCTCTCTCTGCGCCTCGGATTTGGCGCTGAGCGGCGGAGGCAGCTGCTGCCGGGCTCTCCTGCGCGCCCGCGCCCCCTTCTCCGCCGGCCGCCTGATCCCTCCTTTGGCGAGCCGTTTCTCGTCCCCTCTCAGTTGACCCTGCCATGGAGCAGAAGCAAATCGCGTGAAATTACCTCCGAGGATTACATCGCCGGGCCATTGAAAGCCCCCCTCGCCCCTGGTTTACAAACCTCCTAATCCCGTGTCATTCGGCGGCTGCAAACAAACCCCGAGCGAAAGGCCCCCTATTTAGGCTTCCCAGCTGGGTCGGGGGCGCTTGGGCGACGGCGATTTCTCTCTTGCTTGCTCGCTCGCGCGGGCTTTTTCTTTTCAAGGGACCCGGGACTTCCTGCGAGCTCCCCTATATATATATAAATATATATATTTAAGAGGAGTGGGGGGGGGGGTATCACGCCTGACAAGGCCTCAAAGCCGCCCCAGAAGCCTACGACCTTTTCCTTCCCTGAAAGCTGGGCTGCCCTGGGAAAAAAAGGACGGGACCCACCACCAGAAACTCGCCTGGCGGATGGCTGAGGTGTTCTCGTTTTCATCCAGCTGTGAAGATCTGCTCATTAATGGAAGCCGCCTTTGGCGCCAAAGAAGTGAGGGAGGCTCCCTCGCAGCCAAGCCTTCCCTCGAACCCGAACCCTCATTTCACTTCTTCTGTTTAAGAATAACAAAATGACAGCCGAAGCTGGACCAGGCTGGCTAGAAACCTCAAATTGCACCCCCGCGCCCTTTTTCTTGAACATCCTGTGGGAGGTGCACCCCCCCTCACACGAGGCAGCATCTTGGGCTGCAAACAGCAGGAGTGGCTCCTAATCACGGTATTGTTTTCTTCAGCCGTGAGGAGTGGAGTGCTGTTTCACATTCGTTGATCTGGTGGACTAGCTAAGAACAATCCGTCCCTGAATATGGGTGGGACTGCATTCAACTACAGAGCATCCTGCAAAATTCTGTGCATGGGATGTTCACTCAAATTTTGTATGATGAAGCTGGCTTTATATAGACATACATTACGCAACCCAACCCAACAACCGTGCTAAAGCGCAAGGGAGAATCTAAAGTTGAGGTTACTAGATCACAATGAACTCAGGCTTCTCTAGTCTGTAAGAGTTTACCCACCAGAGGAGGAATGTGGGCTGATGTTTCCACAAGATGACTCTTCTGGAAGACTTCTGAGATAGGATGGCAAAGGCCTGGCAGGCGGATTCTCCTCCCCTCAGTTCACACTCACACACGGTGGGCTCTTCAGCATGTTTGTTTTTATGAACCCACTGCAGTTCTTCCAAATAACCATACATTTAACTGACAGCATCTTATACACATATATATTTTGGAGTGTAAAAAAAACCATAGGTACAAAAATATTTTTATGGAAAAAGAACATTTGCCCCTGGACATGATTAACAGTAGAGTTTGAAGTGCATATTTTACTTTAAAGAAAAGGGAATCATTATCAATCCATTACACATTAAGAAATGTCACTCAGTCATTTTTATTCATTCGGCAGAAATCTTTGTAAAAGCCGGAATCATACTTCTGCAAGCAGCAATTTTGTTAATCCAGGGGGGTTATTACTCTGGTCCCTTATTAGGATCTATACTACTGCCAAGCAATCCTATAACCGTCTCAAAAGAAGTTTACCTTCATGTTATAAAACCAGTAGTGGTATTTATACTGTGCAATAATTAGTGTATTACTTGAATCCACTAACAGGTTCATTTTATCTCTGCACAAAACCTCTAGTCTGCTTATAGAAAGCTTGTGCCTCCTTTGGCGCTGTTAAAGTGGTGAAAGAGTGAATGAAGGCTGGTAGCACTTTCTCTTTTTGCCTTGCCTTAATTCCCATCTCTTTTTGCTCTCATCCAATTAGTGCAGTGTATTAAGCAGTTTATCATCTCATAGTCAGCTATTGAGAGAAACAAGGCGAACACTTTGCAATAGAGCCTGCTCTCCTTTGACACCCTCAGGTACTTACATATTCCACTGTGCTATGAATAATAGAGGAAGAATAGAGCACTAATTCCCTCATCAAAGAATGCCTTGTCTGCTGCTTTGCTCAACAACACCATTCTGATCAAAAGAAAAGCAATAAAGCTTAGCATAACAAAACGAAACCTACTTATTAGCTTAGTGGTTAAATTAATGCAGAGCCGCTGCTATTCAAAACCAAGGTTTGAAAACAGCCTCCAACAACCTGATAATGCTGCCTTCGGGATGAAGGAATTTTAATCTGAAATTTGAAGCTGGCACAGATGAGTTAATCTATTAAACAGCTATAAGAGGGGCGCAGGATGAGCGGTTCAATTAAGAAATATTTAGGTGCTCGACAGAAGAGAGGCAAATAAGGCCAGAAGAAAAATGGGCTGAAGTTGAGAAATAGGAAAAGTCATTTTTCCTCCCAGCAAAATATTATTCTGGCATAGGACAAAATAATTTGATGGGTTCCTTTCTTCTTTACTAACACATAAACACTTGTTGTGAAGTCCAGCCTCTGGGCTTACATATCAAAAAATCTCACCCTCAACAAAACTTTAGAATATTTTTTTTATCAGCATATGGGACAGAAATATGAGGTGTGGCCAACTCAGTCTAGAACATCTCTGGGGAAACCAGGCTTGTTTTCTTAGCAACCTCAATTCAGTTGTAGCATGTATTTTACACCATGTATTTTACATATTTATGAAAATCAGCTTACATATACTGTAAAAAGATGGCTTCCCATTTCCCAGCCTTTCAAGGGTTAAAATGAGGTGAAACATTCAAAGGCGGCTGCTTAGTCAAGGACACACATCTGGACTCTTCAGATTTTGTCTGTCTTAAACACTAGATGTTACATTAAGTTGGGAAAACAAGGTTTTATTTAACCTATTCAAAACATTCTTCCTCTAATAATTGAAGATAAATGTGAAGTGCCATTACGGCATACGTATCCTTACTAGATTTTCAAATTTACATTTTTAGAGAGAGAGAAGCATGCTTGAAGATGATCTTTCGCCTCTTTTTTTCCTATGTGATAATTGGAAAGTTTGTGAAAAGACAAGTCTTGCTGGAAAAAGCTCTAAAATGTGTATCTGTATACAAATAAGTTATTTTTCATTTTGATCATTAAGACATGCCTATTTCATATCATATTTCACAAGTACATTTATTTTGCTGGAAAACACAATACATGTGTAATGCTTTTAAATATATATGGCATTAGCCAACATTTCTCATTAGACCCATTGAACTCAGTGGAGCTAATTAACTTATATGCCCATTGATTTAATGGGTGTCTTCTTGACTATATGTAAAGTGAGCATCACCCATTGCCTTTTTCTCACTCCATTAGAAATGATGACACACAGGCTAGGTTATTGCAATAGGACTACCTGTATGATGTGAATGGAAGTAACCAAGCATGACTATCCAATAGGCATGTTGGGGGTAAGAGTAAAAATGGAATATTTGGCTCTTTTGCATATAGGAACTCATTTGCAAGAGGGTTTCTTCATTCATGTCAGTGGAAAGGTCAGACATGCATATGCCTTTCTTATGCATGTGGGTCTTCTCTACCAAAATATAGAAGCCTTTGCAGGCAGGGCAGTTCTGCAGGCTCATGTTTCCACAAGTGGTACTTGAAGCAGGTATAGTTAAGAACACACAATAACTGATTTCTGAATGAACCAGATATATATACTATTAACAGCTGAATTAGATGTGACATGGCTGCCCAAGTCTGTTTATTTGTGTCAGCTCCACTCAACATGAGGATATAGGTTAAAATTTGCTTCACAATCAGTCCCAGGCTATTTAAC